TATATATATATATATATATATAAATTATATACATAGCATACAAATCTAAATTACATTTAAAGCCACATTTTTTTCAGCACTGGATAGAGGAGGAAATGGTTAAAGCCCGCCATGTTTCTTTTGCTATCTAAGTCCTGCTATAGAGATTTCCATTTACTTCCTGTCTATGACACACATAAGGAAATCTTCACAAAGTGGAGGGAAATTTGATATCTTGTATCCTGTGGAATTAAGTTCCACTTTAACCAGGCCATCTTTTTCAGCTGCTCAAGTATTATTGTGTCATTTTCATGAGAGCATTTAAAGCCTTTTTTTCTAGGATAGCTAACAGTTTGTCCCAATGTTGCCAAGGACCTAGACTTCCCCCTCCTCCTTTGCATTGTATTAGCCGGGGTCAATATGTTCCCTATATTTACTCACAGCATTAGTTTAATGAATTTAATTCCGTGCGGACACTGAATTCACAGAGTCGGCACACATCCATTTTCTGTCCCGCTGTTGGACAGAGGGCCAGATGAGCCATCCGAGTCACCGTGGGCAGGGCAACCAGAAGACTATCCAGGTCTTATGCTTGAGGTTCGAGATACCGCCCTGGGAGGCGGTGACTCATACACCATCCAGATCCATCCCATAACCTAAGACTTTTTTGGATTGGCTTTCAGCCTCAATTTAATGCAATGGGAAGGAGGAGGAAGTCACGTTCTGATGAAGGGGGCGTGACCCCGGAAACACGTCAATTGTAGGCATTCTGTGCTGGTACACAGGATTGTCTGTGCAGCTCTCATCCATCTCATCCTGGTTTACCATTCCTTGGTTTCTGAAAGCTCATTGTGATCTACTCTTGTGAGTATTATTTCTATTTTTGCCGCTTTTCAATAACATTTAGCTACACTAGGGTAGGCGCCCCTTGTTTTTTGTTCTCTTCCCAATGTTGCATCTGCCCCTGAAGCAGACATAGACAAGGAGGCTTCTAAGTTATGTCTTCTTACTTTCCTGAAAGGTTGTACTGTACAGTTCTTGACTGAAACTACTGAGATTCGCAGTGAAGAAAAGTCATCACAACATTTATTTTAATTTGGCAGTATTTGGAAAAAGAGCTTAACGTAATATTAAACTCTCAAATTTTTTTAATGAATCCAAATCAAACAAATTTACATTTCACAGCAAAGTATTTCTTTAATTTCTAAAAAATTTTAGCCAAGCATTTACAGTCATCATGCTTCAGAATAGCTAACTCCAACTCTCTCAACTCCCCTTCCCTGAACTTCCTGTCTAGTACAAGGTCACAATGGAGAGCACAGTTTCCAGCAGCTGTCCATTTTATAGCTTGGAGAAAGGAGGGGTGAAGAAGGAGGAGTAGAGAGAAGAAGAGTCTATTGCTTTGCTATGTCTGTTTGTGGAGACAATCAATAATACAAAATCACCTGCACTCCATGCAGCGTACAGACCTTGAGTAAGAGGTTGGTGCTTGAAGTGACAACACGGATGGCGCCGTGTCAGATACAGTCCATATTGGAAGTCACCAGCACTCGATATGTGCAAGAAGTAAAGCACTTTTTTTCTCAATTGTCACATGCGTCAAACAGCCAATGTTTCAGGGCCACGCATGTCGCTCAGAAGTAGGGACCTGAGCGACACACACACAGCTTACTAGTACACACAAGGGTGGCTCCACAGGACACTGCAATGGAAAAGGAGCCACCCCAAAACCGGATATCAGGACCAGTGCTCAGGGGACCAGCTGATTCTGCAGGAAATTAACACTTGTGTCTAGAGCAGGTGCCAATGCTTTTATATCAGTGAAACATTTGTTTTTCCTTCATTTGCAAATATTTGAAATTATTTGTTGGCTATTGTAATAACATCATAATAACTAACTGAGTAGATTTGTGAAATTCCTAGTTAAATGATAATTACAATGAATGCCCACCAAAAAGCTCAGACATTTAGAGGCCTCATATAACCGTCCCTCAACATCAAAAACAACAATGTAAGCTGCCATTCTCTGACTGTCTAAGGGTGAGTGAGGATGGGGAGCTGAACCACAAGCTTTCTCTAGTCGAATAGGAGCAATATTTGGCCCGGTTGGCTCATTTACGGGGTCCCTCCAGAGGGACGGGATGACCAGAATGAGAAATCCACATGAATGAAGACTAAAAAAAAAAAGAACACCAGGTAATCATCTCAGGAGTCCAACAAAAAACTTTATTGGCTTCACAAATGGCGACAAGAAGATGTGCACAGCCAATGCGTTTTGGGGGCAGGAATCCCCCTTTATCAGGGCTTAAGCAATCAACAACAGGAGACTGATGGGCTCTAAACTTACAGCTCCTGCACGCAATGGTGGAAATCACTTTACGTTCTTCAGAAAAATGTGCTTATCTCGAATACAGATCAATGTTCCATAAAGTGACTCTCTCACGAAGGTATAACTTCTAAGAAAACAGTTTCTTGCAATGAAGTATATACTCACCTCCTTCACTGCCCATGCCACTAAATGATGCTCTCATGAAGAGAAATTGCCACCCAAATTGTTTAGATATGAACACTTTTGGAAGTATCAACCACCAGTTCCTACACTGAACTCAGCGATTCCTCCCACCAATACCACATCACTACACGATATTATATGAACGTAGCGGTCAATGGAAGGAATCACTGAGAACAGTGGTGTACTAAGAGATCAACAATCCTACAAGTGTTGGGACAGTGATTCCTCTTCATCAGAGCATCATTCAAGGGCATAGGTAGAAGAAGAGGTAAGCATATACTTTCTTCTTTGCAGAGTAACTATTATAGTAGAAGTAGTAGAAGTTTTATTTATGTGACATAGGTGCTTTAAAAAATAAATGTATTGCACTGTGCACATATATTGCTGTATAAACACTCAATGAGTATGATGTCAAATGATTTTCTCGAAAAAATAACAACAGCCATTAGTACCTGAGTGAATGGTTTCGGCAGAGCTCATGCTGGCGTTCCTGGAGAATTTCAAAGATGTTAGGTTGACGCAGGAACGCTACAATTTTTTCATTGTAACCTAGAAATACAAAAGTGAAAAAAAGAAGAGGAAGTAAGAATATATCATCATACATAGATCATTTGCAAAACATAAATGATGTGTCCATTGTATCATCACTGTGTAAGGGACACACAAGAGTTTGTTTCTGCATCAATCTACTATAGGACACAAGTGATGGAAAAAGGAGTAAGAGTAGGGTAAGTGGGGTGATTAGCCAACACCTGTCATGAGAGGAAATAGGTGCCATGGAATAGATGCTTATTTAGAAGACAAACATGGGTGGCTGGCCAAATGGTCCCCAGGTGTGATCTCTCCCCCTACAAAATAATTGGTTACAACAAAAGCAGAAAGATACCGAGGTTTGTGAGAGATATGACACCGTGGCTTGAAGTTTAGTAGAAAAATGTTTTATTATAAACAACACCTAGGTTATAAAAATACATACAGAAATAAAAAGGCACAATTCAATTACAAATAGTTCTAAAAATCAATGTTCAATGTTTAGACCTAGTACATCCCACTATTGTACTTCAAGCCACGGTGTCATATCTCTCACAAACCCCGGTATCTTTCTGCTTTTGTTGTAGCCATGGAATAGATGCAAAAACACCTTGGGTTATTTTTTAAAATACAGAAGAGGTTTTGCCCAACACCAGTGTTATATAAGGATAAAAGACAGGATGCAGGGGATCAGAGCCATTAAAGGAAACCTGTCTTGATTACAATAAGGAGTCTCTGTTGCTGATTACCTACTAACAATGCTAGTTGCTGGGCTGCCTTGCTGAAATAACAGCGTTAGTACTTTTTAATTCTATAAAGAGACCAGGGGTTCAAGAATTAAATGTTGAATTCTTGTTTTGTATCAGCACTAAGGCCAGAAACAGCAATAGCAGCACATATATTTCTTGATGGGGTGTCCTTAAAAGGAAATGTATAGCCTTTTCAATATATTTTTAGAAAACATGTAAAAAAGATCAGCTAGTTTTAAATTACCTTATAAATATGTGTTAATATTTTTTAAATCCTTGTTTATATGTATATTTGAAATTAAACATGTATGTGGAATCAGCCATATTTATGTATTACATATGCAGGCTCTGTTTCCTATTTGTAGTGCTGTCCAATGGCTGTGCTTTTCTGCTTCTTACAATGTAAGTCTATGGGGTTGATTTACTAACCTTATAAACACACCACGAACGTGTATACACCTCTGCAGTGTGTTCCCTCCCAGCATGATCTATGGGTGGAATCTAAACACCTTTGTAATGTGTACACACCCAGCAGGTGTGTTGTGCAAAGCCCTGAAGGAATTCCAAGGTGATGTTGGGTAAATTAGCTCTATGTTGTGTTGCTTGCGTTGATGAATGCAAGGAATGTAAATGCATGAGCTAACCATTTTTGTCTAAACTGTGAAGCAGCATTATATATGCATCATGTGCATGATTTTTCCATATATGGCATTAGTGGAAATATGCTTTTAGAGACTTTTTGGTTGATAAATAAGTTTTGCTGTGTGAAAATCACACACACCTGGTGTGTGTGTGTGTTTAGGTTAGTAAATCACCCCCTATGAGTCAGCCAAAACATTTAAAACAATGGGCACACTGTTGGGCCGTTATCTTATCTCAACAGCTGTTAAGGGAGGCAGAGTGATTGCAAATTGGGATACTGATACCTCTAGTGCCTAATCTACAGGTCTCCATGTTTAATACAATAATACAGAAGAGCAAATATGTAAAAATATGAAGACTGAATAATTATTTCTTAAAAACACACATAAACCCAGAGGCTGCTAAATAAAAACCATTCTTTACAAAGCTTCCTTTAACCTATTCAATAGAACAATTGTTCCAAACATGGCTGATAATACTTTTTTTATGAATAATGAGCAGTCACATGTCCACTATCTGTTCTCTGTGATCGGAGCACTGCAGAGAGTTACGGGACATTTTTGCAGGACTGCTGTGAGAACAGATGAGGCTCTGAAAAAGAGCCGCTGTCAGTCAATTGCTTTGATCTGCTTGAGCTTTCTACAGTGGCCAGTCAGGGATTTCTCACTCCTAACGTATGCGTTTATAGACTTCTAAATCACATGTTTTTCAAGTACAATTTTTTTTAGTTCTACCAACGCCTTGAAGATTATTTGCTGAGTTTCTTGTTGCAGGTTGTTTTCCTGTGCCCTGATTCCACTGGTGCCAACCAGTGCAAGGCATTCTGAAGCTGGCAATCAATTGAAAGTCAAGCAATCACGTTTTATTACGACATACAACCACATTTTGAAAACAGAACACAGCAAAGACTGATCTTTTATGTAATGTACACAACGGGTCCAAAATGTATCATTATAATCCACGGTTCTCAAAGGTTATCAGTGCACTCTCTCCCCTTCACTACTTGGCAGGCTGACCTCAGAACTCCTCACATATGCCTGGTAATGCTCCACTTCCCTTTCACAGACAAATTTCTTGGGGAAAAGAGAGCAGGCCACACAGAGTTGGCTCTGCATGATCCAACCCCCGGTGAGTTAATAAAAAAATGTACAGAGATACTGAAAACTCTATACCTCTTTATATACATACAGGATATAAAAACATGTGCAAAATATTAGTGATGCACCGAAATTTCGTCCGCCAAAACATATCGCTCGAAAATTGCACTTTTGGCAAAATCCTGAAAGTGCCATCTTTCGGCGAAAATTGCGGTGCATGCCTGGTTTCTTTCCTCCCCGCTGGGCGCTGCTCTGTGTCCCCTCTGACACGGTGCAGCGTCCAGCAGGGAGGAGAGAAACTGTCATGGGAGGCTGATCGGTGCAGGGAGCGCTGTGATCAGGCGGTGTGTCACAGGAGGCCAGGCGGGGCGGTTCCGGAGGAGAGCCAAATCAGGCTGGAGTGCTGTGCGGGGGAGGAGTCAGCTATCAAAATAGACCGAGCTCTCCTCCTACCCGCTCTGCTGCATCCTGAGACAGCGAGTCAGGATGGAGAGCGGGTACAAGCCGTCAGCGATCAGTGATGGCTGACTGCTTGTAAATAACTGAAGACATAGTATGTTTACTGTGTCCCCAATTATGAATGAATGGGAAGTGCTATACCTCACTTCCTGTTATTTCATGATTGTGGAGATAGTAAACGTACTATCTCCTCAAGTTATGAATGAACAGGAACACTCAGTGTAGAGTATTCCTGTTCATTATAACAGGGGCTGCAGAAAAAGAGATTGAGGACTCTGTGTCCTCAATCTCTTTTTCTATTTTATAAGGGAAATATCAGGGGTCTGTTTAGACCGCTAATATTTCCCCAGAGCCCCCGACAGTAAAGTAAAAAAATTAAAATATTGTTAAAAAAAATAAGAAATAGGAAATAGGAATAGGAAAAAAAATGTCGGTTTCGGCCTGACATTTTTTTGATTTTCGGTTTCAAAATTTTATTTAAATGCACCTCTACAAAATATACTACATGGCTGAGAATATTTATAAAATTATGTAACATATAAGTCATTCTTCTAAATATCAAGGAGAACTATGAGGTGAGTGAAAAGCACTCACCTCATAGTTCTCCTTTAATTACATGAATGCAATACATACCAACAGGCATCATATCAGGACAGTGACTTCTAGTGACTGTGTTAAACGTGCTAGAAGGCCTAGGTAAAACTGGGGGACCTGAATGTCGTGCATCTTCCCCAACCTGTAACAGAAACAATGGACAATATAAATACCATGCTATGTTATTTAAACATAAATAAAAGAATATCCATGTTTGTGGTCATCATTTCTGACAATCACATAGGATTTCTGAAGATGTACTGAAACTGGCAAAGTTATTTGTATATTTAACATTTTTGGTTTGAAAATGCATTTCAGTAAACACAAATCAGGAATGCTTACTCATTTCTTTCAGAGAAGGCAAGCCATTTCCAACTTTTTTGAAGTATTAACATTTATTATAAGGTAGACATTCTGCTGGTCCCAGGCTGAGCATTCCTGGACTGGCCTAACTGTACCGAAAGCATAGTGGGAATCACATTCTGGTTAGGACTCTGGGAATTCAAGGATGCCCAAAACTTTGCATTATACTGCATGAATGGTCCCCTGAATTCATTTCAGCTTACTTAGGCCCCGTTCACACCTGGGCGTTTTGTAGCGCGTTCCTACACTCTGCAAAACGCTCAAACACCGAAATCCTATTATTTCCTATGGGTATGGTTCACACCTGGGCGCATTACAGGCCGTATAAATGCGTTACAAAATGCCCTACGCCCAAAGAAGTACAGGAGCTTCTTTGGGGCGTATTTGCCGCTTGTATCAATTGGGATACAGCCAGGTAGCCCTTGGAAACGCGCATTTGGCGCGCATTTTTTTTACCGCGAACCGCGGTAAAAACATGCGGCACGAAATGCGCATATTCGATACGCCTAGGTGTGAACCCAGCCTTACTGAATTAAGCTGCCGTGGATACAATGTTGCAGAGAAAAGTTCATACTGACCTCCCCAGCACTGTGGCTGCGTTGCCTTGTTAAATGCTGCCGATGTAATAGTGCACTAGTTGGTCTGCTGCTTTGTAATGGAAGACGTGGGTCAATAAATGTAGTACTTCTAGAATTATGATCAACAAAGAAGGGCTGCAAGAAATTAAATAAACATTAACTACATACATGTAGGAATATGAAATAAATGTATTCATGCACATGCTCAGCTATGCATACCACAACTGTGTGCAATTAAAGAAGAATTCTGTGAATCAGTGTTTACATCTCAACTGTCCCTATGTCTAAACTATTCAAAAATGCAGCATGTCTGTATGACTACCCCTCCTTTTCCCCCCTCAGTGCAGGCAGCTCCGAGTCATACAAAAACAGATGGAACATGGTATCCCTTGCTTCAAAAGAGATGTGAATTTCAACTTTTCCTCAGCTTATGGTCTTGTTATCCACCTGTTCCTCAACTGGAAGCCGGATTGAACCCTAGAGCTACTAAATACCCCATTGTTTTTATTATGGGGAAAGTATGGCATTCAATAAAAACTCAAATTATAATGAATGTGCTGCGCTTCACCCAGAACAATACATAAACAAATCTCTATAATAAACATGTGCTTAAATAATACATGCAATCAAAAAAGTGTTCACAATGAATCTTCTTGTAAATAATAATCCTCTGGAAAGTTCAATCATATATTCCGTGTTCAAATATACACAAATGTGGAATCACACGTATATAGTGCTCAAGATTTGTCCCAAGTGCACCACACTCTTTATCCTTCCACTTTGAAAGTTTTTCGTACTAAGTCCATACGTCAACTCCAATTATTACCCAGGTGCTCCCCCTCTCAGTGGGCCGCTTACCTTATAAATAGACCTGAACAGGTCTAGAATCACTTCAATGGGTCTCCAATCGATCTTATTCAAAGGCCATCTCTCCACAATCGTTGCACAGAAAATGACATCAGCGCGTCATCACGACCATATCCAATAAAATATAAAAACAGCCCATAGCGTAAAACCGCAAAATTAAAAAACCTCCTTTATTTTAAAAACTACACACATGGGGAAAGTAAACATAAAACTTCAAATAAAATGTATGCTCGACAACTCTCTCTCCGTGTCTCCAATGCACGTCAGCGAGACTCCGCCCTACGCATTACGCCACAATTGACTTAATCTGGGGCTTGCCAGACGTGGATTGGAGATTGCATGGTCGGTAGCACAGCTCCTGTTTGATCTGTCTTTGCACCCAGAGAACACGGTGACACGGAGAGAGAGTTGTCGAGCCTGTTCAGATCTATTTATAAGGTGAGCGGCCCACTGAGAGGGGGAGCACCTGGGTGATAATTGGAGTTGACGTATGGACTTTGTACAAAGAACTTTCACAGTGGAAGGATAAAAGAGTGTGGTGCAAATCTTGAGCACTATATACGTGTGATTCCACATTTGTGTATATTTGAACACGGAATATATGATTGAACTTTCCAGAGGATTATTATTTACAAGAAGATTAATTGTGAAAATTTTTTTGATTGCATGTATTATTTAAGCACGTATTTATTATAGAGATTTGTTTATGTATTGTTCTAGATGAAGCGCAGCACATTCATTATAATTTAATATATTCAGAGGGTAACACTTCTTATAGTGCTTGCAGCTATACAGGGTTTGGAGCGAGGCGCTATTTGTCACTTATTCATTAAAAACTAATTTGCGATATGATGGGTATAATTCACTCACACCAATCTGGCATTATATTAACTGCACAAATTGGTAGGATTTGGAATATGGTTCACTAAAGGGCTTTTCTTTTTGTCTCAATTATTTAAGAATAATATCCTTAAACCTTTTTGCATGTTGCAAGAGGAATTTCACTTTCCTAACACTTATTTCTGTAAATACTTAGTTACTTACAGTTTGTGCTATTCAGACACAGTGTGGAATTGCACCTCTTATTTTTATTAAGGCTTATTTATTACTTTGGTGGCACACTCTGTAGAGAGGCAAGATTTTATTTGGAAGATATATGATGTACTTATGGAAGGATGGGTATCCAGGCATCAGATGAAGTGTCGGGGAGGGTGGGAGACAGACGTGGGCAGCATATCAAATGATTCCTGGCAAGTGGTTTTGGAAAATGCCTCATTGGTATCACTATCAGCTACTCAATATTTAACCCAATTGTTTATTTTACATAGAGTTTAATATAAAATTGCAACATTGGGGAACGAGGGAGTCTGGAGTTTGCATTAGGTGGAGTCTTAAGTTTGTCAGGGGGAAGTGGCTGATTTGTTACATGTTATGGAGATGCCCAAAACTCTTCCGTTATTGGAAGGAGGTAGTATCTACTATTAATGATATATGTCAGGTATCTCCATCTTCAGATCCTATGACTTGTTTACTGAATCCTATTGTTAAGGATGTATACTCTGAGGAAATCTTTCTTTTAATCATACGGCTTATTTTTGTTGTGAGGAACTTAGTAGCTTTGAAGTGGTTATCTCCCAATCCTTCTACTGTTAGTGAATGGCGTGTTCAGGTTAATTTATTGTTGCCTAATGAAAAATTGATGTGTGGAGGATGTCCTCAAAAATTCTTTAGAATATGGAATGTTTGGCTCTCCACTCCGGTATTAGTTCCCGATTCTTTGGTTGCAATATATTTTGAGATAAGGTTAAATATTTTATATTTTGGCTTGCTAGATCTTTATATATAAAAGCGTGGATTATTATATGACCATATCTTTGGATATGGAGAGGTGATAAAAAGAGTAGGCTGGGCTTTGGCTTTGTGGGTTTTGGTTATTATTTAGATAGATCTATAGCATTATGCTAATTTTTTGTTTGGTATTAATGAATATGTGTAGGGGATTATAATATCTCCCTTTAAAATTGGTGGAAAAAAAATTCCAGCACAAGGGGCGAAGGGGGTTCTTCACAGTAAGATCAGTTAGGGTCCGGAACTCACTCACTAGGGTCCGGAATTGTTCAAGAAACTTTTGGACGATTTCTTAAGGGACCGTAATATACAGGGGTACAGGTACTCCTAGAATGAGATCCTAATAGGTTGGACTTGATGGACTAATGCCTTTATTCAACCTCAAATACTATGTAACTATGTAATATATTAGGAACAATATGCCTTAAGTTTTATAGTTTATTTAATGTACTGTGACATTTTGAGCATATGCTGTGGAAATTCCCTTCTTTTTGTATGTTGGTTTGTTTTTATCTGGTTATGTGTACAATTGTTACAAAAAAATAAAAAGGAATGGAAACAAAAAAGAAGACTTGAATCTCAAATGCAGCCACTAGAGGGTGCTGTTCAAACAGCATGCATGTGATCTTCAGCAATAAAAGGAAAAACACCTCATAGTGATGCTGGAATTTACATATTTCCCTTCATGTATCTCCCCAGAGACAAGATGTGACAAATATGCTTTTAACTAATTATTCTGGCTGTTGGGTTTGCGGAAAGCTCATTTGCATATTGAAAACTAGGCCTTGCTTTTGTGTATACTTTCTGATTCACAGCAGTTTTTTGTTCTTATCAAACAGCAGAAACGTTTTGATGTCCTGCCCTCAGAACTTGACTGAATAGAATGTTAGCACAGATATCTAGTTACTTGTGATATTCTAGTGAAGGTCTAACTGTAATTTATTCTCAGTGATGCCACGGGTTCCTCTAGACCAGGGGTTGTCAACTTACAAAGTGTAGGGTGCCTCGACTATGGCCCCTGACAGCTCCAAAGGGCCGCACAAAATATTCAGTATAGACAGAATACTGGCAGAGACGTTAGACATACTAGAAGAATTGGTCAGAAACTGCAGGCATGCAACATGGGTGGTTGAAGACTGAAGACACATTACAGGAAATAGAAAGAAACTGGGGACATGCTACGACACTGCTAGATCCGCCATTATAGCCTCTTTTCAAATGAATGCTTCACTACTGACTGGATCTGCAAAGGGCCACATAGTAACTACCAAAGAAACACATGTGGCACTCGAGCTGTAGGTTGGATACCAGGGCTCTAGACAAGTCTAAAATACCATACATAGCATCCTGGGTCATTTCATTTTTTAATTACACTGAGTAGCCAGATTATTATGACCACCTGATGTTTGTAGGCAAATTAGCTATAATTTCGCGTTGAAGTTGCTAAAGGGCCAGACCATTATAAATAGGGAAGCAGGTTGTTTAGAACGACAGTAGAAGTAATTTTTTTCTGAAGATATGGGTAAACAAAGCGATTTAACAGCCTTTGAACGTGGAATGATTGTTGGCACTCGGAGCCATGGAGCAAGTATCAGCAAAACAGCAGAATTCGTTAAATGTTTAAGAGCAGCTATTGTTAAAGTGTTTAAAGACTGGACTGTCAGCCGAAAATCTGGGTCTGAACGTGCGAATTGTGGCCGTCAGCGACTAGTCAATGTTAGGGCAGAATGGAGAGTGGCAAGACTGGTACAAGACAACAGAAGGGCAACAGTGCATCAAATTACTGCAGATCTTAATCAGGGATCCTCTCAAATGATCTCTGAATGCACTGTTCGCCGTACACTGCATCGTATGGGATATGGAAGCTGAAGGCCTGTTCGAACACCTTTGCTGTCTGCAGTTAACAAGATAAAACGTCTCCAATTCGCACAGGAACACAAGGATTGGACAGTCGAGCATTGGAAAAAAGTCATGTGGTCCGATGAATCACGTTTCCAGTTGCATCATGCAGATGGCAGAGTGAGAATTTGGCGGGAACAGCATGAAAGCATGCACCCCACATGCATGAGTACAACCCTTCAAGCTGGTGGGGGCAGTGTTATGGTTTGGGGCATGTTTTCCTGGCATGATTTGGGCCCTTTAATTCGTGTGGAACAACGTCTGAATAGCACAACATACCAAAGTATCGTTGCTGATCAAGTTCATCCTATCATGTTGATGGCGTATCCCAATGGAGATGGCTTCATCCAACAAGACAATGCGCCATGCCACGGTGCTCGTATTGTTGCTACTTCTGTTGCCCACGGTCCCTGTATGTGTTGTAAAGTAGCCACTGCTCTAAGCTCGCTCCTGTGATGAAATATAATCTCACGTTTAGTTTACAAATTTTTACTGAGAGTGTAGTCCATCATTAGAGCAAGCTTGGAGCAGTGGCTACTTTACAACACACACAGGGACCATGGGGAACCGAAGTAGCCACCCTCCAGAAGGAAGGACAGTGTAAGCACCAATTCAGAGAGGACTTGAGGTTCCACAGCCGAGTGATACACAAATAAGATACATTTTTGTTAACAGTTAAGGTTAGGGATGCACCGATACTGATACTAGTATTTTTATATCAGTGTCAATACCAAGTATTTGGGCAAGTACGCGTCCGAGCCCAAATGCTCCAATACCTGCCTCGATACTGGAACTTCCAGTCAGAGGGGGATTTCCTCTGGCAGGCAGTGCCACAAAGGAACCTGGAGCCTGCTTCCCGGCCAATCAGGAAGCCGAGCGGCGGCTTCCCAGCCAATTGGCATGGAGTTGGCCAAACAGCATGAAGCCGACTTTTCATCCAATCAGGAAGCCGGGCGGCGGGTAGACCTACCTCCTGGCTTCCTGGGAAGCTGGCTCTATGCTGATTGGCTGAGAAGTCTACTTCTCAGCCAATCAGCATCGAGCTGGCCAAACAGCATGGAGCCGGCTTTCCGGCCAATCAGGAAGTCAGGCAGTGGGTAACGACATGCCGGCTGGCTTCCTGATTGCCCAGGAAGCCAGCTCCATGCTAGTGGAAGTACCGGTATCGGTACTCGGTATCGGCAAGTACTGAATTATAAATATCGTACTCGATACCGTATACTTGTACTCGATACTGAAAAACCAGTATTGGTGCATCCCTTGTTAAGGTACTTGAATGCATTTTTAATATTTAACTCCTAAGTTTGGTGTTACTTTAAAGCAAAAGGTTTGGTCAAAGGTTCAAGTCTTACCATTTGTTTCCAATTTAAAACAAATTGTGACAATAAACGTTATGACTTAAATGCCATCTTAGGTTTCCTATTCAAGGATACAGCTACTACATGTTTACACTTTATTAAAACCATTAATACCTTGCTTTGATGATCATGCTTCATTTCCCAGCCTCTTGGTAACTCAACTTGGTTATTGGCAAATAAATTCAAAAAACCTACAAGATCCCGATTATGTTGGTAACGTTCAAAATGGTGTGCATCTCTCCGAACTTTGGTGATCATATGCTTCAAACAAGAATTATTTGTAAACATGCGATAGGCACTCTAAAAAAAGACAAAATCATTATTTTATTAACAGAGCCCAGGCAGTGGAAATATTTTACGTATTCCCTTGAAGGGTATATAGCCAAATGACCAGTGGTTAGTCTATGCTGTGCCATGCAGTGTATTGATTATTTAAGTATCACAGGATTTATACTTAAAATTAACACAAAACCTAAGGTATAACTTTACCATTTTGACAAACCTCAGGCAGAGGAGAGGGAAAAAAGGGGAGAACAGATAACAAACACAAACTTTTCTATTGGCTGTGGTGGACTGTTGCATCCAGTGGGACAAAACTCAAATCTGTTGGGGCACCCTCTGACCTCATAAGTCAATTTATACATTGAAAGATTTTGATTTTTTTTCCAGTTGGATATATTTAAGCATATGTAGGTCATTCCAGTTAAGTGCAATTAGCTCTTTCATTAATTTAGTTAGTTGGTTTAGAGAGGACTGAATGTTTCCTCCATGTAGGCGCACCATGTATTGTATATGCTTATTTAGCATATACAGTTTATTTAGCTTATTAAGTTTGTTCTGTTATAGCTAATAATTCTGAATACATAGAAATATTCAGTTGTATGAAATGTGAACCTGATTTGATTTCTAGAGATGAGCAATTTGATCCATCAAGTTTGAGAACCAACCTAGAATAGACTGATGGGCTCAAGGTTTGCAAATGGTGACCCAGGTAGGCTTTTGGTTTTCAAAATCTGCACCAATACTGGCATTGCTAACTCATCATTCTCCTTAGCCCCCAGCAAATCACCAGTGTTTTATGACCACAAAGCCAATGACATCAATATTTGCAATTACCAGTCAAATGACAGTATTAATGCAGCATCCCAATTTGCACCTCGGAAGGCAGAACTCATTTTGCTATTTTTTACAAGAACGTTACAGGCTTGACAGCTTGCAAAAGCTCCACCCAAACTGTATATTTTCTGAAAGAGCAGATCCAATAGAATCAAAATAGTTGGAGAAATGTTTATAACAACAGTGCTTTTGTAAAACAAAAATAGTGCAGACAAGCCCAACTTAATCTAAAATTGATTTCTACAAACTATGAAAGATAAAACTGTATCATGTTAATAATAAATGTGTAAATTAAAAATTGTACACTTTTTGTAAGAGTGAAAATTAAAATGTGCAAAAATGTAAATACACAACTTCCACTAGAAACCTTTACTTCATATATTTAGCATCATATAAAAAATTTTTCCTAAAAATATTCTTAAACTTCTAACATGTGGGGAGACACAACATGTGTAGTGGGTGTCCTAACGTTTTGTACCTTATCTGTGTGTTCATGTACAGTGTGTATGTATGGGGTGGTCTATTTTTGTAAAACTATTTTGTTATGACACATTTTGAGTTTTATAGAATATTTCATCGGCTTGACAGCATCTCCATATGATCCTAAAAGTTAAACACCAATTTCCTGTACTGTTGCCACATGCTATCAAAGTGTCAGTCGCTGATGTTTTTGCCTCCTCTGCCTATTCTAACTAGAGGGTGCTTCACATGTGGAAAATCATTATGCTTGGTGAATATAACTCATCCAGTAAAAAAAACATTTTGCAGTGACATCTCACCTTACATTATTTTTCACAACTTAGTCACTTAACTCCCACAGCAGGGGTGTAGATGAGA